CTGGGGGTCAAACAACACATAAGGGGGAGGTAAGATGGGACGGGTTCAGAGGAGTAGGTGACGTTGAAGGAGATGGGTCCATGCTAGGACCCAACCCTGGCCCCCTCCAGAGTCCAGAGTCACATGATGTTATCGTCTCTACTCAGTTCGCTAGAGTTCAGAGTTTCCTCCTCCTCAGCCCATGAGTTCCGGGGCCGGGTCCAACACGGGTGATGTAGGTGGGAGTGAATCCAGCTCTTTGTTGACATTCCATCCTGGGGAGATTGAGATAAACACTGCCCTCAAGGCCGTGCCGCTGGGAGCCAAATAGATAATCCAATTGTTTTGGAACAAAGCAGCCTTGAATTTCCTGCTGCTTTTGATGTGTCTTAACTGAATCTCTGAAGTGGCGTGAAAAAACCAAATTAGCTGAATTTGGGGTCTACCTCGCCTCTCACTGTCTGAAGCATCACCCAGATGTAATCCTTACATGCTGGAGCTAGCTCCTGAGCTGTGATCCTCGTCAGAATCACATCCAGTTTGCGAATTATTTCCCCCAGCTGAGGGTCTGTGTGCTACCAGCCCGGCAGAATCCTTCAAGTGCGCCCGACAGCTCCTCAAAAGCCCGAACCACTGTCAGGGTCACTTTCACTTTTCCATAAATCTGGAACCCTCCTCTGCCGATCAACAGGAATCCAGTTATCATAAATCTAAACATATATATAAATCTTCCACGTCTTCGATGGAAAGTGGTCCTGGCATATCAGATTCCAGCCCCAGGAATCAGACAAGTCCAGCAGCAACTGTTCCACCCAGACAGCCACGTTCCCCTCGTTCCAAGTGTGGAAAAAAAATAGTGTCACTTGCATTCAGAGACCAGTTGACCAAATCCATTGTTCCTTTAGTTTTGGATGGTAGGTGAAAAAAAGGCTTGAAGAAGCAAAAAATCAGTGAAGTGGCAAAAGAACAACTATATTTAACTCTTCATATCTCTGAGATAAAGTGCTGGTCAAAAATAATAATTTCCATGAGTAAATACCAATCTCTTCTGTTGCTCACAGTTCAAGAATTATTTGAATTGACCTTATAGTTTTCACACAGCGGCTGGTTGTATGAACAAAACTTTCAACAGATATGTCCCATTTCTGCCCCTCCCTGTAACGACATCACAATCAGGCCTTCTGATTGGCTGAGGCTGTTGCTGGGCAGAGTAGCCTCTTGAGTGGAAGAACAAAGAGGCTTCATGTAACCCAACATGGCTCCCAGATTGTTCAGCAATTTAAACACACACAAAGCTGAAATTTGGTCGGATGCTAGCTGAGAGCTAACTCAACACATTCTGTTAAGCTCAAGCTAACTGCTCAGCTAATTTTTTTTTTTGAAAAAAGCTCTGATTCAGCCATTTTAAGACCTGCTTTGGCAAATGATAAATAAAAATTCAAGATGGCCACCAGAGCTAAGTTGAAACTGCAGTAACTCAGCCATTTGAAAACACTTTTAGCTAAAATTCGTTGTGGTGGTAGCTAAGAAGTTTATCCATCACAAACTGATGCCAAATCAAAAATCCAAGATGGCCCCTATAACTAAAATGCTAAAGTGATCATAACACAGCTATTTTTAGACATATTTAACTCAAATTTAAATTAGATGCCACTTGGCAAACCCTTTCATAGTTTCTGGAACTATTCTAGTACTGCATATTACTGTTTATTACTGTATATTACTGCGTATTACTGCGTATATTACTGCTTATTACAGCGTAATATTGTTTGTTACTCTTTATTACTGTGTATTACTGTTTATTACTGCGTACAATACTGCTTATTATTGCATATTGTTTATTACTGTTTATTACTGTTTATTACTGTGTATATTACTGCTTATTACTGTGTAATATTGTTTATTGCTGTGTATTACTGCATATTATTGCATAGTAATGTGTATTATTGCATATTACTGTGTATTGTTGTTTATTATTTCTTATTATCACTTATTACCGCATATTAATGCTTTTTACTGAGAATTACTGCATATTGATTTGATTTAATTGATTTGATTTGATTAGATTTATTGGTTTAACAGGAAAAMATTARTAAAAATCAAGCCTGACTCAGCATAATTGCTGTTTTACAGCAGGTTCCTGTTCTGCAGCACATAAAACACTCAGAATTACAGCATCACAATCACATCATTATACACCATGAAACTGCGTACTGCTTATTAATGTGTATTATTGCATAGAAATGTGTATTACTACATATTGCTGCATGTTATTGTTTATTACTGCATATTACTGTGTGATATTGCATATTACTATGTAATACTGCATATTACTGCATTTTAATGATTATTACTGCACATTACTGTGTATTACTGCATGTTACTGTGATGTTAATCCTGACTTGTCCTCAGTCTGATCAGGTCCCAGCAGAGACCTGGACTCAGAGGGTTTTCCTCCTCCTGTCTTTGCATCAGTCTCGTCTCTGACGAAGCGTTTCCATGCTAACCTGTTTATACCGGTTCTGTTTCCTCCTCCCTAAGCCCCCTCCCAAGCCATCACCCCAACTTCTACAGCACACCCCCCATCTGTACAGCGAACCCCCCAACAATAATCTGTTGCAACCTCCAGCAAAACACACCTGTCTTCTGATTTTGTTTCTGTCCGTTTTTCATTTTTACTCAGAAATCTCCTGTTTTCTGTTTTCGGTTCACTTTTCGTTTTTTTATTGATTTTTTTTTAACATGTCTTTTATTTAACCCTCTAACCCTTTTCCATCCAACCCCTCCCCCCACCCGACCTTTGACCCTTCTCGTCCCTCCACCCTTCAACCTCCCCCCTCCCTCTCCCCTCCCCTCCACCTCCTCCTCCCTCCAGTTTAGAGACCGCCAAATCCACTGCCCAGTCCTCCTCCATGCCGTCTCCCGTTGACCTGACCATGAGCTTCACCCAGCCCGCACCCCCTGCCTCCGCCTCGTCCTCCTCCTCCTCCCCCCTGGCAGCGATGGGTGCCACGCTGCCCCATGCTCCAATCCTGGGCGCCCCCTACGCCCTCCCCCTCTCCAGCCTCCTGGGGATGAAATCCATCCCCTACCTGGCTCTCTCCACCCCTCCCGCCTCAGCAGCAGCAGCAGCAGCTGCAGCGGCGGCGGCGGCCGCCGCCATCGGGGCGCCGGTGCTACCAAGCGCCGTGTCCACGGCGGCCACGGTTCCTGTCCCGACCCACGCGGCGGTGGCGCTGGCCTCCTACACGGCCAAGATCTCCTCTTCAGCCAACGGGATGAAGAAGCCCGAGAGGCAGAAGTTTGCTCCGTACTGACGGAGCAGGAGGTGCGTGTGTGACATCACTCCTGGGCGGAGCCTCGGACTGCAGCAGATTTTCTTTTCCACTCTCTGAACTCTGTCGTCCTCCATCTTTTCTTCCTGCTGCTAACAGAACCAACACTGTGGGACTGTGCATGGTTTTACAGAAGATATGTAGGAGTCAAACGTGCACAACTGTCAGCAAATATACACGACCAACTTCTGTTTTAACTCCGTCTGGTTTTACTGTGACGTCATTTTAACGCAGTTATTTATTTAAAAAAAGGCGGAGCTTCGTAGAAACTGATCAGGATTTAGTCACATAAAGTCATCCAGGCTGATTAATTCTCCTCACAGCATGAAGGAAGGTTAAAAACATGACAATCATCATAAAGCTGCAATGGTTACACTCAGGGTCATTGAGTCTGCTTTACTCTTCCTGTCATTTTAATCCAAGCAGAACTGCAAAAGATTCAGATTAATGCAGAAAAAAGAGCATTCCTCCACATTCAGACCAATCGTTTGATGCTTCTCAGCTCTGTGGGGTTTCTGGGACTCAGTCTGTAGGAAAAAACCAGAAGACCCTGCTGGACCCTCGTCTGGTTTCAGGACTAAAGTTCTGTTGATTCTTTGATTCTCTGTATTAAAAACGCTGTAAAACCCAAACTGTGCCACCAGGTGGCGACAGAGAAGCATCAACAGTCTGACGTCAGAATCAGGATCCTGATTATTAGAAGGATTAATGATGTTTTATTGCTTCAAAACAACATTTTTATCAGATTCAGTTTAAGAGACGATGATGATTTAAGAAGTGGAACAAAGAGAAAAAGATTTAAACTTTCTAATTAAACACTGTTTAAGTGCAAAGTTTGACTAATAACAGAGAAAATGTCTGCAGCATCAGTCCCACGTCTCTGTCCTGGTCCCCTGCTGTCTCTCAGTCCTGGTCTATCCCAGGGTCCGGGGTTTGGGGGTTTGGAGCCACACACACTTGAGGTTGTTGGACCTCAGCCTGTAAAAGCCATAGAGACGTTCAGCCGGTCCTTTCCTCGTCTCTGTCCCTCTCTCTATCTTGTATATTGATATATTTATGAACTCTTCTGAAATGTTCAGTTCCTCTCACTAACACTGTAAACTCTCTGCTTCCTGTCTTTCACTGTTTCCTGTAGAGGTCTTTGAAACACGCAGACTTTAAGTCTTTGTTGAAATGTTTTCTTTAAATTATTTTAACTTATTAAGAGGAGTATTAAATCCTGTACGGCTGCAAGTCAAACTGTAAAACTTTGTTTTTATGTAAGTGTGAACAAATTACTTTCCTTTTTAAAAAAAAGAAAGCGGTCACTGTACCATTTATGCAAATCTGAACATGTTTTTGTTGAAGTGTTTTCACTCCTGACTGATTATTTGAACCATCTGGAGAAGATCTGAGATGTTTTCCTGCTTCTGGGAGGTTTTCTTCCACAGAACTGGAAGAAAGTAGATCAGATCCATCCACAGCTCAGAAACACCAGGTCCCATTTGACCCATCAGACCAGCAGAGTCCTGATGCCTCTCAGTCATTCAGGTAGAAAAATACAAATGAAATAAATTAAGTTGGTTCTGAAATTTAAATTTAAATTTTAAATCAGCAGAAGTTTAAACAAAAAGACAGTTTGTCTTTGAGTCGTTTCTCCAAGAGTCTCCTCCATATGAGGACAAGGACCAGGTCCTGCACCTCCTGCTGTTTTCCACTGTCTGAGTACCAGGACCAGGACCAGGTCCAGGTCCAGGTCCGGTCCAGGTGGATCTACTTCTTGTAGTTCTGTGGCAGAGAGCCTCGTCTGTGTGAAAGTAGAAAAACTGTTTTTATTTCTCAGCTGGACTGATGCTCAGTTTACTGTCAGAGTTTCACCTCAGACACACACACACACA